TAGAGCAAATGTTCTTAGTGCAAAGAATGTTTACATTGTTTGTTCTGAACCCTATTTTTAAATTGGCAATTTCTGAATTTTGTAAAATTACATATTTCTGATCACTATTGGGTAGCTGAAATAGGTAAATAGGTAGTTTCTTGTACTCGATAGAATAGAATGGAATTGGCTGAAAATAAGGCTCAAAGTTTGCGGAATCGCCAATGCATAAAAAATCACCGAGACCCCTAACTTTGCGAGAGTGTAATTCCACAAGTTTTTCATACATTGTTGTAGTTTGTCATTACCGTGAAGAAGAAGAGAGGAAAAAAAGCTTATTAAGTTTTTTTTTTTTTTTTAAGTTATTCTACTCTGAGCAGGTTGCTGATCAGGGGTCTTGACCATGAAAGGGTTAAAATTATCGCAGATTTTATATACACACTGTTACAATGACATCAAGGGTAGTGATAAAGAGAGGAGTTGTAAGGCTCTAAGTGCAAAGTTAGAAATTATTAAACTTAGTGAGCAAGGTACATCTATGGCTGAGATAGTACTGATGATTGTACTTTTGTGTACCTGTACCTAAATCAACTTAAACCACCATGCTGACGTGCAGGTACATTAAAATCACTATTTGAAGACGCAATAAAAATAACTTAAGGTGCTCTAAATGTACATTATATTTTTATAGACATTCATTAATCCATCTGAGACTTCAAAATTACATAAAAAGCATGCTATATATCAAACATGATGCAGACAACCATACTAAAATTAACAATTGTAAGGTGTGGTAGCCGGGCGGGTGTAAAGGAGTGTGCAATAATATTTACCATAACATGTTCTCTAGTACAACACCAGAGAAAATGTATACTATTACTTGGGGGTTACTAGAAAAAATATTCCTGTTGTATGCCTTCATTCGTAGTGTCATTTACTCTAAAAAGGACGTTGCATAAGAATGGGAGTGTTACTGGTGTGTATTCTACTGCACCAATGCGAAGACAACTCGTACACAACAATGTGTTCACATTGTGGGGAAAACCACTTCAAAAACACGTGCATAACGAGAGCTGAACTTTTATCAACGGCAAGTGTACAGGTGTGAAATATACAAATCCGACCTCCGACCCAAAACACGGACACCACATACACATTTATGGGGCACCCTCCCCACAGTGTTTTAATACAAAAGTAGCAGCAATTATTTTTACAAGTGAAACTGGGTGTACTGCTGTGAGCAATGAGTCTGGTCCATCCGGAAACTTACCAAGTTTCAAGCGTCTTAGTTTTTACTTCACAAGGCTCTTACCTGAAATGAACTCTAAGGAGAAAGTACTCGCCTAGTTGAGGTTGTGGGGGTCGAGTCAGAGCTCCTGGCCCCGCCTCTTCACTGATCGCTACTAGGTCACTCTCCCTGAGCCGTGAGCTTTATCATACCTCTGCTTAAAGCTATGTATGGATCCTGCCTCCACTACATCGCTTCCCAAACTATTCCACTTACTGACTACTCTGTGGCTGAAGAAATACTTCCTAACATCCCTGTGATTCATCTGTGTCTTCAACTTCCAACTGTGTCCCCTTGTTACTGAGTCCAATCTCTGGAACATCCTGTCTTTGTCCACCTTGTCAATTCCTCTCAGTATTTTGTATGTCGTTATCATGTCCCCCCTCTCTCTCCTGTCCTCCAGTGTCGTCAGGTTGATTTCCCTTATCCTCTCCTCGTAGGACATACCTCTTAGCTCTGGGACTAGTCTTGTTGCAAACCTTTGCACTTTCTCTAGTTTCTTCACGTGCTTGGCTAGGTGTGGGTTCCAAACTGGTGCCGCATACTCCAATATGGGCCTAACGTACACGGTGTACAGGGTCCTGAATGATTCCTTATTAAGATGTCGGAATGCTGTTCTGAGGTTTGCTAGGCGCCCATATGCTGCAGCAGTTATTTGGTTGATGTGCGCTTCAGGAGATGTGCCTGGTGTTATACTCACCCCAAGATCTTTTTCCTTGAGTGAGGTTTGTAGTCTCTGACCCCCTAGACTGTACTCCGTCTGCGGCCTTCTTTGCCCTTCCCCAATCTTCATGACTTTGCACTTGGTGGGATTGAACTCCAGGAGCCAATTGCTGGACCAGGTCTGCAGCCTGTCCAGATCCCTTTGTAGTTCTGCCTGGTCTTCGATCGAGTGAATTCTTCTAATCAACTTCACGTCATCTGCAAACAGGGACACCTCAGAGTCTATTCCTTCTGTCATGTCGTTCACAAATACCAGAAACAGCACTGGTCCTAGGACTGACCCCTGCGGGACCCCGCTGGTCACAGGTGCCAACTCTGACACCTCGCCACGTACCATGACTCGCTGCTGCCTTCTTGACAAGTATTCCCTGATCCATTGTAGTGCCTTCCCTGTTGTTGTGTTGCAGGAAATTAAAATGCTACACCAGTAAACACTATAGTTATAAGAAAACGTGATAACCTTATTGATGACATGGAAACTTACTGGTGTGTCCTGAAAAACTAGTCACAGAGTGCCTTTAAGCCAAGCCATTATCCAGTCCAAGGCCCAAAGTCTCTTCAATTCTATGAAGGCTGAGAGACGAAGCTGCAGAAGATAAATTCGAAGCTAGCAGAGACTGGTTTCATCTCCTGACTTCCAACAATAGAGTACAGTGGACCCCCAGCTTACGATATTATTTCATTCCAGAAGTATGTTCAGGTGCCATTACTGAACGAATTTGTTCCCACAAGGAATATAGTGAATTAGATTAGTCCATTTCATACCCCCAAACATGCACGTACAAACGCACTTACATAATTGGTCGCATTGGGAGCTGATCGTAAAGCGGGGGTCCACTGTATTCTCTTCTCCCTACGTTAAGGCCAAAAATATTTTAAGTAAAGAGTGTACTGTATATGAAATTCATTTTTTTTTCTTTTAGGCCTAGCGGTAGCCTGGAACCTAACCTGTTATATAAGCAGAGCCTTTGTAATTCTACACACCAGCTGCAAAGGGTTAGAATGCTTAAGGAAAATAACTTGTGGCCACAGGAAATATACTGGCTAGAAGATTGAGGGAAGGGGGGGGGAGAAGGACATGACTACTGTGATCTCCCGAGCAGGGAGAGAAGTACCAAATAGGGTGAACCAAACTGCAAGAGAAACTAGGTCGAGTGGTGGAAAAAGGGATGTACCACTGGGTCAGACTGAAGGAAACAGCAATAACAATATCCTGGAGAGTGAATAGTTGACTAACATGAAAAGCAGAGCCAAGGACAAGAGAAAGCTTTACACAGGTAACAAACAAAAGGCTATGAAACTATCCTGAAATGTTCTGCATAATCAGAAGGGCTTTCCATTAGTAAAAGACGTCAACTCTTATAACTGGATAATGCTGGACTGGGGAAAGAGGGAGGAAAGGTTTTCATTTAATGGCTATGAAGTTTAAAATGGAACAGAAGCAAAGAATATATCTAGATGCCATTGGGCTATTATGATGGAAACACATTAATTAAAATATTTGATCAGTTGGAAAAAAAAGGTATTTTGATAGGGGAAAAAAAAAAAAAAAAAAAAAGATGAAGGAGATACTGGGTGTCTTTCCATCCCCCTCAGAAGTAGATCACTAAATTATGAGAGGATGGAGAAAGTTAAACTAGTGCAAATTTTAAATTACTCTACTAGCAGATTGACAACTGGATACAGCACAGCTCTACAGCTATAAGCAGGTAGCCACTCAAATGGAAACAAGTGACTGACTTTCTGGGGTTATCCTAGGTAATTTACACTATCATAATTTTACTTACATGTACCTGTGCCTAAATATACTTAACTTACATATTTGCTTAAGTGTCTACCTACAATTAAAGTATACTTATGGGGAAGCACTAAACTCACATGGGCCATACACAATCTAGGGTTGGGAAAGGGGTAATCGGGTTCAAATTAGGAACAGGCCGACAGGACCAAGCCCTCCGACAAAGAGCCCTACACAAGCAGGGAACTCTTTAAAGGGTTTAAATCTGATTCTAAAAAGAAATCACAATTACCATAAAGTTAACACAGCTCATGTGCAATCCTCATCGTGAAAAAAATTGATTGGACATGGCTGCATAGTTGCCAGGTAAGTATTCCAAGTGAAGCGTATTGAAGCACATTACCAGAGGTAAAGAATTCAACCATTTTCAATTTGCTCTTTGGCAGCAATTTTTACAAGTTGCATAACTCAATCTATACAAGTCCCTGATTGCCATGGAAATTTTGTACCAAAATATTATAGCTGGCTACCCAGCAGAAGACACTAAATTTAAATTAAAAAAAAAAATTTCTTTGCATAGCATACAAGAGTAGTTTACACAAAGATTATTATTATAATCAAGAGGGAAGCGCTAAACCCGGAAGATTATACAGCGCCTGGGGGGGGGATGTGGCTTGTCTCATTCCTTTTTTCAAGTGAACATAGTTATTAAAATATTAAGGAACCAAATTCAAATTTTTTACTAAATGTTTTATACTAAAAAATGGTAAAAATCAGTATCATAGGGAAACCATGTGGACAGGCAAATGAAAATGTTTAGCAGGACCCAATAGGCCTACTGAGAGGCTCCTTTTGTGAAGTACTTCATTGTCAGTAAAGAACAAGGAATTTGAGCTAATATTCAGATTATTTACCCAGGATAACCTAACGAAGCCATGTCATGGGAATATGTCAATTGCAATTACCTGCCTCGTAAAACTTTATTGCTTCCCCCCCCCCTCCCAGTTGTCCACGTGCTGACACCAAGGGTTTTTGGCCTCTCCATGAATAGAACTCCACGTTAAAGACAATGTGGGCAGATATTATGTCAGTTTGCCAATACCTCGATGTTGTCCTGGCAAGTCACCAGCTACATCACAATATTGATGTATAACCTGGAGCCAACTAGATCCTGTGACAACCTGTTACCATCGTACATTTAAATTTTACGTTACAGCGTGAGTAAAGAAGGCCGGGTTAGCCCCCCCTTAGGCGGGTGAAGCACAAACTAACATTTCCTTCTTGGAGGGCGAGCTCTTGGGGCTGGCACTAACTGCCTTCTGCGGCGTCTCAGACATCTTAACGGCGGTGTATGACACTATGCTGATGTAGTATGACGCAGAAGTGAGGGAGCGAGTGTGTGAGGGGGCAGTTAGAGCGTAACACCACCTCACTGTTCACCAACAACTGGCGCCAACCTCCACCGCTCCTCCTTCACACTTTTTCCCGCGTATTCCGCCATTGTCCCTCGTGACGTCATAATCTCCACTACCTTATTTTGATCTTTAAATTCACTTATTTCCCAATTTTTCACAGTTTCTAAAGTCTATATGCACACTATAATTTATCACTATTCGAAATATACTTCTTTAAAAATTATCGGGTCAACGAAGTTTTTTAGTTTTATAATTCAAGATTAAACTCACTGCACCGTGAGACTACCTTCATATATTAAAAAGTAACATTGATCAAAATTATTTATATTAAATGTCTGCTACAAGGATGAAGAACATGTACAGTTTTAGAATAAGTCAAGACATTTTTAAACAAGATATTGATATCATGCAAAGGCTGTGTGTGGCTACCCTCCCTTAAAGTGTGTGATGCCTTCATTATGAACAGCTCTAGATCCACGGAATTAAAACCACCCTTCCCTTCTTTGGCTCAAACTTGGTTTACTTCTCATTCCCAGGAGTTGTACGACCCGTCAGCATTTTCTCAGGTCCAGATATACTTGGAAAACTCAAAAGTTGCTGGTACTATTTTATTTTATTTTTATTTGGATGCCCTGAACCCACAGGAATCATATAGCGTCCGAAAAACTAGAGGTTGTCAGGTTTATGATTCAAGGAAGGAGAGCAGCTCCATTTCCTTAGTCGCAGAACTTTCCACCATATCTTGAAACCTGCCAGCAATGTACACCAAAGCTCATGGACCGTCACCCACTACTGCAACTCTTCAACAAATAAATCATTAGAATTTTAAACTTTCACAATGGCGATCCAAGTGAGGAAAATAACTATACACCAGATTGCCATTACTCTCTAAAATCTTCGAAAAAATAATAATCCATTAATAAACCAACAAAAATGCCGCCGGTCTGATCATCACCCATTCCAATCCCAGACAACACATTCCCCCTCTTCACAAGATTTAATATACTTAATAGAAAAAATATGCACTCATACTACTGTGCCTAATATAAATAAATAAATATTGTTCTCCTTCCCATCGTATCTTTTTTTATCACAAATATAGCACATAAAGGGTGGTAGGAAATACTCAGGTCCGGGGAGAAACATCCCGAGTTTTCCCTGAAGGATGTTCATTCTCTTCTCTGAGGTTGTCGGTCCCCAATCATAAACATCTAAGGGCAATGTGTGGTGTAAATATTATGCAGAGAATTTGAAGTGTGGAAATTAGGAGGTGGTGTGGTGTTACTAAAAGTATTAGTCAGAAAGCTGAAGAGAGGTTGTTGAGGTGGTTTGGCCATTTAGAGAGAATGGATCAAAGTAGAATGACTTGGAGTGCATAAATCCGTAGGGAAAGGAAGGTGAGGTAGGGGTCGTCCTTGAAAAGGTTGGAGGGGGGGGGGGGGTAAAGGAGGTTTTGTGGGCGAGGGGCTTGGACTTCCAGCAAGCATATGCGAGCGTGTTAGATAGGAATGAATGGAGACGGATGGTTTTTGAGACCTGACGAGTTGTTGGAGTGTGAGCAGGGTAATCCTTAGTAAAGGGATTCAGGGAAACCGGTTATTTTTATATAGTCGGAATTGAGTACTGGAAATGGGAAGTACAATATACACATTTTTTTTTTCAACAAGTCGGCCATCTCCCACCAAGGCATGATGACCCAAAAAGAAAATACTACATTCATCATCATTCAAAACTTTCACCTAACTCATACATAATCACTGTCTTTGCAGATATATACATACAAGATGGCCGACTTGTAAAAAAAAAATATATATATATTCTTTCTTTCAACACACCAGCTGTATCCCAACAAGGCAGGGTGGCAAAAAAGGAAAAACGAAAGTTTCTCCTTTTACTTTTAGTAATATATACAGGGGAAGGGGTTACTAGCCCCTTGCTCCCGGCATTTTAGTTGCCTCTTACAACATGCATGGCTTACGGAGGAAGAATTCTGTTTCACTTCCCCATGGAGATAAGAGGAAATAAACAAGAACAAGAACTAGAAAGAAAATAGAAGAAAACCCAGAGGGGTGTGTATATATATGCTTGTACAAAGCAGAAGTGCTATAAGAAGAGCAGAGTATATGGAGAGTAAAAGAAAGGTGAAGAGAGTGGTGAGAGTGCAAAAGGAGAGCAGATGATAGAGTGGGAGAGGCACTGTCAAGAAATTTTAATGAAAATAAGAAAAAATTTGGAGTTAAACAAGTTAAGAAAGCCTAGGGAAAGTATGTATTTGTCAGTTAAAAACAGAGTAGGGGAGTTAGTAGATGGGGAGAGGGAGGTATTAGGTAGATGGCGAGAATATTTTGAGGAACTTTTAAATGTTAAGGAAGAAAGAGAGGCAGTAATTTCATGCACTGGTCAGGGAGGTACACCATCTTTTAGGAGTGAAGAAGAGCAGAATGTAAGTGTGGGGGAGGTACGTGAGGCATTACGTAGAATGAAAGGGGTTAAAGCAGCTGGAACTGATGGGATCATGACAGAAATGTTAAAAGCAGGGGGGATATAGTGTTGGAGTGGTTGGTACTTTTGTTTAATATATGTATGAAAGAGGGGAAGGTACCTAGGGATTGGCGGAGAGCATGTATAGTCCCTTTATATAAAGGGAAAGGGGACAAAAGAAACTGTAAAAATTATAGACGAATAAGTTTACTGAGTATACCAGGAAAAATGTACGGTAGGGTTATAGTTGAAAGAATTAGAGGCAAGACAGAATGTAGGATTGCGGATGAGCAAGGAGGTTTCAGAGTGGGTAGGGAATGTGTAGATCAAGTGTTTACATTGAAGCATATATGTGAACAGTATTTAGATAAAGGCAGGGAAGTTTTTATTGCATTTATGGATTTAGAAAAGGCATATGATAGAGTGGATAGAGGAGCAATGTGGCAGATGTTGCAAGTATATGGAATAGGTGGTAAGTTATTAAATGCTGTAAAGAGTTTTTATGAGGATAGTGAGGCTCAGGTTAGGGTGTGTAGAAGAGAGGGAGACTACTTTCCGGTAAAAGTAGGTCTTAGACAGGGATGTGTAATGTCACCATGGTTGTTTAATATATTTATAGATGGGGTTGTAAAGGAAGTAAATGCTAGGGTGTTCAGGAGAGGGGTGGGATTAAATTTTGGGGAATCAAATTCAAAATGGGAATTGACACAGTTACTTTTTGCTGATGATACTGTGCTTATGGGAGATTCTAAAGAAAAATTGCAAAGGTTAGTGGATGAGTTTGGGAATGTGTGTAAAGGTAGAAAGTTGAAAGTGAACATAGAAAAAGAGTAAGGTGATGAGGGTATCAAATGATTTAGATAAAGAAAAATTGGATATCAAATTGGGGAGGAGGAGTATGGAAGAAGTGAATGTTTTCAGATACTTGGGAGTTGAAGTGTCGGCAGATGGATTTATGAAGGATGAGGTTAATCATAGAATTGATGAGGGAAAAAAGGTGAGTGGTGCATTGAGGTATATGTGGAGTCAAAAAACATTATCTATGGAGGCAAAGAAGGGAATGTATGAAAGTATAGTAGTACCAACACTCTTATATGGGTGTGAAGCTTGGGTGGTAAATGCAGCAGCGAGGAGATGGTTGGAGGAAGTGGAGATGTCCTGTTTAAGGGCAATGTGTGGTGTAAATATTATGCAGAAAATTCGGAGTGTGGAAATTAGGAAAAGGTGTGGAGTTAATAAAAGTATTAGTCAGAGGGCAGAAGAGGGGTTGTTGAGGTGGTTTGGTCATTTAGAGAGAATGGATCAAAGTAGAATGACATGGAAAGCATATAAATCTATAGGGGAAGGAAGGCGGGGTAGGGGTCGTCCTCGAAAGGGTTGGAGAGAGGGGGTAAAGGAGGTTTTGTGGGCAAGGGGCTTGGACTTCCAGCAAGCGTGCGTGATCACGTTAGATAGGAGTGAATGGAGACGAATGGTACTTGGGACCTGACGAACTGTTGGAGTGTGAGCAGGGTAATATTTAGTGAAGGGATTCAGGGAAACCGGTTATTTTCATATAGTCGGACTTGAGTCCTGGAAATGGGAAGTACAATGCCTGCACTTTAAAGGAGGGGTTTGGGATATTGGCAGTTTGGAGGGATATGTTGTGTATCTTTATATGTGTATGCTTCTAAACTGTTGTATTCTGAGCACCTCTGCAAAAACAGTGATAATGTGTGAGTGTGGTGAAAGTGTTGAATGATGATGAAAGTATTTTCTTTTTGGGGATTTTCTTTCTTTTTTGGGTCACCCTGCCTTGGTGGGAGACGGCCGACTTGTTGAAAAAAAAAAAAAATGTATGTGTAGTGTGACTTAAGTGTAAGTAGAAGCAGCAAGACATACCTAAAATCTTGCATGTTTATGAGACAGACAAAAGACACCAGCAATCCTACCATCATGTAAAACAATTACAGGCTTTTGTTTTACATTCACTTGACAGGACGGTAGTACCTCCCTGGGCAGTTTCTGTCTACCAACTTACTACCTAGGAAAAATATATATATATATTTTTTTTTTAACAAGTTGGCCATCTCCCACCTATACTATACTTCTGAAAAGAGCCAAGTATACTTACTTTTTCTGGGAAACTGGAACTGGCGAAGTATGCTGCAGTAGCACGAGAAATACGATTGAAAGTGTTCCAGAAAAAGACAGCACAAGTTCGTAGCAGCTGTGTGAGCCTTCAGGTACAGATAGGGAAAGGAACAAACTAAAATCATTGGAACTTCCCAAGGAGAAGGAGCGGATGTAAAGGGAAGTAAATTAAGTATGCTCAGCCAACTAGACATGTAGCTTTTAGGTATGAGACGAGAAATTTCCATTGCATTCGACAGAGAAGGCCAATAAATTGATCTATCATGACCGTATTGTGTACTGGAATAAGGAAACCACACATGTATAAAATAGGTTATCAAGGTCATTTTAGCAATAGAAAATTTTAAACTGTACGAAGGGGCCAGATGATAGAATAATCTCTTTTATTTACTGTTTTTTTCTTCTACTGTTAGACAATGGCAGGGCATACTTTGCCAACCCATTTTAGGTGAACAGGGGCAGCAGGCATATAGCCAATATAACCCTGTATTACCCTGAAGATACTGTATAATACATTATTTAAATTGTAACTACTAAAACAATTGATTTTTTTCCAAAATTTTTTTAATGGATTCTACAGTAGAAGGTTTATTAAAACAATACTTTGACAATTAAAATTTACTGTAGTACAGGTACAACACTGATTTCCCGGTACCGCTGGTTAATAAATCTTGCCAGAATACTGATTTTACAAGACAAACACAGATCATGTAATAATAATTGAACAATAATAATTCTTGTGTCTCTAAAGCACCAGGGTTTGCTAGAAACTTAAACATTAATATAAATGAAACAGGTACAATAATATACTGTGCTTAAAAAGAATTACTGTAGGTATAAAAAGCAGTGTAGTACTACGTACCTGACAGCTCAATTAACTCATTAATAGCCATAGCTATTGACAAGTTAGTAGAGCTATTAACCTAACCCTAGCCATAGCTAGGGTTAAAAGTTAGCAAAATGCACTAAGAAATGCACAAAATCAAGGGATCACCACCAACAACTGCTATGTAAACAACGTGAGTGTTCACTACACACAACGCCATCCGTTGCCACCCTCATAATTTTGTCCAGACTAAAACCAAGTTGTAAAATCCGATACAGTACATGAATCACTGAATATTATTCAACAATTCTTTTTATTCTGATACCACTCATCTACCAGGGATCATCATCTGACAAGAATCTCCTCTTTTTTGCAGTGTTCATGTAGGGTCGAAGAACAAACTCTGTATCTGCAGCCCTCTCCTTATCCATGGTTCCCATAATGATGCGATATACTGAAAAAAAAATATACGTATATGTATTGTGTGCAGTATATGTATGTAGTACGTATATATTTTTTATTAACACATCAACCGTTTCCCACCAAGGCAGGGTGACCTGAAAAAGAAGAAACACCTTCATCATCATTCACTCCATCACTGTCTTGCCAGAGGCATGCTTACACTACAGTTAAAAAACTGCAACATATCAACGCCCCTTCTTCAGAGCATAGGCACCGTACTTCCCATCTCCTGGACTCATGTTCGGCTAACCGATTTCACTGAATCCCTACATAAATGTTACTCTGCTCACACTCCAACACCAAGTCGGTTCATAAAAACCATTCGTTTCCACTTGCTTCTATCCATAATGCTCATGCATGCTTGCTGGAAGTCTAAGCCCCTTGCACACAAAACTTCCTTTACCTCCTCCCTCCAACCATTCTTAGGATAACCCCTACCTCACCTTCCTTTCACTACAGATTTACATATATGCCCTCTAAGTCATTCTATTTTGTTCTATCCTCTCTAAATGTCCAAACCACCTCAATAACCCTTCCTCTACCTCTGGATAATACTTTTAGAAACCCTGCACCTCCTTCTAATCTTTAAGTTACAGATTCTCTGTATTATATTTCACACTGAACAATGTCCTCGGACACAACATTTCCACTGCCTCCAGCTTTCTTCTTGTTGCAACATTCACCACATAAGTGTGTTAGTACCACTATACCCTCATACATTTACCTCTTTGCTTCCATGGATAACGTAATGTAATTTTTTTTTTTTTTAACAAGTTGGCTGTCTCCCACCAAGGCAGGGTGACTCAAAAAGAAAGAAAATCCTCAAAAAGAAAATACTTTCATCATCCTTCAACACTTTCACCTCACACACACATAATCACTGTTTTTGCAGAGGTGCTCAGAATACAACAGTTTAGAAGCATATACATATAAAGATACACAACATATCTCTCCAAACTGCCAATATCCCAAACCCCTCCTTTAAAGTGCAAGCACTGTACTTCTCATTTCCAGGACTCAAGTCCGGCTATATAAAAATAACTGGTTTCCCTGATTTTTTTTCTTTTAACAAGTCGGCCATTTCCCACCGAGGCAGGGTGACCCAAAAAGAAAGAAAATCCCCCAAAAGAAAATACTTTCATCATCCTTCAACACTTTCACCTCACTCACACATATTCACTATTTTTGCAGAGGTGCTCAGAATACAACAGTTTAGAAGCATATACGTATAAAGATACACAACATATCCCTCCAAACTGCCAATATCCCAAACCCCCTCTTTAAAGTGCAGGCATTGTACTTCCCATTTCCAGGACTCAAGTCCGGCTATATAAAATAATTGGTTTCCCTGAATCCCTTCACTAAATATTACCCTGCTCACACTCCAACAGTTCGTCAGGTCCCAAATACCATTCATCTCCATTCGCTCGTATCTAACACGCTCACGCATGCTTGCTGGAAGTCCAAGCCCCTCGCCCACAAAACCTCCTTTACCCCCTCCCTCCAACCTTTTCGAGGATGAACCCTACCCCGCCTTCTTTCCCCAGCAGATTTATACGCTCTTCGTGTCATTCTACTTTGATTCATTCTCTCTAAATGACCAAACCACCTAAACAACCCCTCTTCAGCCCTCTGACTAATACTTTTATTAACTCCACACCTTCTCCTAATTTCCACACTCCGAATTTTCTGTATAATATTTACACCACCCATTGCCCTTAGACAGGACATCTCCACTGCCTCCAACCGTCTCCTCGCTGCAGCATTTACAACCCAAGCTTCACACCCATATAAGAGTGTTGGTACTACTACACTTTGCCTCCATAGATAAAGTTTTTTGTCCCCACATATACCTCAACGCACCACTCGTCTTTTTTCCCTCATCAATTCTATGATTAACCTCATCCTTCATAAATCCATCCGCTGACACGTCAACTCCCAAATATCTGAAAACATTCACTTCTTCCATGCTCCTCCCCAATTTGACATCCAATTTTTCTTTATCTAAATCATTTGGTACTCTCATCGCCTTACTCTTTTCTATGTTCACTTTCAACTTTCTACCTTTAAACACACTCCCAAACTCATCCACTAACCTTTGCAATTTTTCTTTAGAATCTCCCATAAGCACAGTATCATCAGCAAAAAGTAACTGTGTCAATTCCCATTTTGTATTTGATTCCCCATAATTTAATCCCATCCCTCTCCCGAATATCCTAGTATTTACTTCTTTTACAACCCCATCTATAAATATATTAAACAACCATGGTGACATTACACATCCCTGTCTAAGACCTACTTTTACCGGGAAGTAGTCTCCCTCTCTTCTACATACCCTAACCTGAGCCTCGCTATCCTCATAAAAACCCTTTATAGCATTTAGTAACTTACCACCTATTCAATATACTTGCAACATCTGCCACATTGTTCGCCTATCCACTCTATCATATGACTTTTCTAAATCCATAAATGCAATAAAATCTTCCCTACCTTTATCTAAATACTGTTCACATATATGCTTCAATGTAAACACTTGATCTACACATCCCCTACCCACTCTAAAACCTCCTTGCTCATCCACAATCCTACATTCTGTCTTACCTCTAATTCTTTCAATAATAACCCTACTATACACTTTTCCTGGTATACTCTATAACTTTTACAATATCTTTTGTCCCCATTTCCTTTATATAAAGGGACTATACATGCTCTCTGCCAATCCCTAGGTATCTTCCCCTCTTTCATACATTTATTAAACAAAAATACCAACCACTCCAACACTATATCCCCCCCCTGCTTTTAACATTTCTGTCATGATCCCGTCAGTTCCAGCTGCTTTACCCACTTTCATTCTACATAATGCCTCACTCACCTTCTCCACACTCACATCCTGCTTTTCTTCACTCCTAAAAGATGGTATACCTCCCTGGCCAGTGCATGAAATTACCACCTGCCTTTCTTCGTTGACATTTAAAAGTTCCTCAAAATGTTCTCGCCATCTACCCAATACCTCCATCTCCCCATCTACTAACTCTCCTACTCTGTTTTTAACTGACAAATAAATGCATTCCCTAGGCATTCTTAACTTGTTTAACTCCAAATTTTTTTCTTATTTTCATTAAAATTTCTTGACAGTGCCTCTCCCACTCTATGATCTATTCTCCTTCTGCACTCTCTCACCACTCTCTTCACCTTTCTTTTACTCTCTATATACTTTACTCTTCTTATAACACTTCTGCTTTGTAAAAACCTCTCATAAGCTAACTTTTTCTCTTTTATCACACCCTTTACTTCATCATTCCACCAATCACTCCTCTTTCCTCCTGCACCCACCCTCCTATAGCCACAAACTTCTGCCCCACATTCTAATACTGCATTTTTAAAACTATTCCAACCCTCTTCAACTCCCCCACTACTCATACTTGCACCAACCCACTTTTCTGCCAATAGTTGCTTATATATCACCCAAACTTCTTCCTCCCTTAGTTTATACACTTTCACCTCCCTCTTACTTCTTGTTGCCATTTTCCTTGTGATACGAACAGCTCAAAACTCACACAATCATGTAAGTGTATTTAAGTGCTTTTGTAAGTGTATTTTTCGGGGTCTGAAACGGATTAATCTAATTTACATTATTCCTTATGGGAACAAATTCGTTCGGTATCAGCACTGAACAGCCTTCTGGAACGAATTAAATTCGTGTCCTGAGGCACCACTTTTTTTTTTTTCAACACGTCAGCCACTTCCCACCGAAGTGGAAATACTTTCAATACTTTCACCATCACTCATACATAATCACTGTCTTTGCAGAGGCGCTCATGTACGACAGCTTAGACGTCCCTCCAAACTGCCAATATCTCAAGCCCCTCCTTTAAAGTGCAGGCACGGTACTTCCCATTTCCAGGACTCAAGTCTGGCTAACGGACCGGTTTCCCAGAATCCCTTCACAAAATATTACCCTGCTCACATTCCAACAGCTTGTCAGGTCCCAAAAACTATTCATCTCTATTCATTTCTATCTAACATGCTCATGCACACTTGCTGGAAGTCCAAGCCCTTCTCCCACAAAATCACCTTTACCCTGCATTTTTTAAATAAATTATTAAACTGTCTCTAAAACAGCCCAAGATCAATCCAAAAAAATTTCTAAGATACACCAGCATTGCTGAAAGTTTAAAGCCGATTAGAAGAGGCATTCGACAGTTATCACATGTATTCCAACAATTCTGAGTTTATTAACCATGTTAGTAAATTTGGAAAATTTGTACTTATTCAGTCTACACTTAAAGGTGTCATCCTTTCCACAGGATATATCAGACATTATATATTCAAGCCATTTAGGTGAGGCATCCTTATTTCACAAAAATAATACATCAGTTTGAAAATACAACTGGCAATACAACATCTACATATTCCAATAATAACAGAAACCCTCTGTTAAGCAGAATACACTGATGTTGAAAATCTGAAGCCAATCAGAAAAGGCTTTCTCAGTCTACTGCACAGAAATTATAATCAGGAATGGCTTTGAAATTCACAAATTTGTATGAACCTTCCTTGGGTTTTAATTCACCAGTGTAGAAAAATTGAATCCTATCAGACCAGGCAAACTGAAGTTAAAGAAAAACTTTGGAAGACGAAAAATTTTTTTGATAACCAATATAAGTTCCCCTGTCAGGATTACGTATAAAATAACTCACATTTCATACTGAAGCGTGGGCCTATCTCATGAAGAGTAAGGTCTTTTCCACCATCAACTTTCTTGTGAATATGCTGTCTGAAAAGGATCCAGTCATCCCAATTAATGAAAGAAACAACTCTTTGGCTCTCATCTTTAGGAACTGGAAACAGATACTTGAGAATGTTGAGTGTCTGAAATTGAAGAAAAAGAAATAAATAGCAATTTTTAAATCATAAATCAAACTCTAGAATTATTAAAATCCAGGCTTAATGCCAACAGGTATAAATATGAAGACAGAATACAGAAGTAACTTTTATTGAAACAATGCTTCACTTAAGGCAGAACATTATTTACTCTTAGCAAAACATAGTCCCAATAAAAGCTTGTTCTGCATGCTGTGTCTTCATACCCATAAATAGTATCTATGGGCAAGTAAACACTTTTCAGGGTCCGTGCCATAGATCTACGGCTTTACGTTGAGGGTCCAAACCATAGATCTACGCCATGAGCTCAGCTCACCCTGACAAGGTGTGAGCAGTAAATTTGGGCCTAGATATGAGAAAATACATCTATGTGGTATGTGTGCACCACATAAAACAATTACTGCAGCACACAGTGCATAATGAGAGGAAAAAACTGAGACCATAATTTTCAATTAAAACAGCAACTTTTACAGTTGTATTTGCGATTTCTTGGTCTCATTTGATAGAATGGAAGATATATTACAGAAATAGAGATGATTTTGATTGGTTTTAAAACTGGAAATGGCTTGAAACTGAACTCAGAGTAGTAATGTTAAATTTTTGCCGATGTTCAAGAGTAAACAAATGACCTCACACGTCTAATACACGCCAGCTGGTGGGTCTAATATACGTTCACAAATGTGGTGATGTTATTTATACAATTATTACAATATTACATAACAGTAAATCTTTTATTTTTTGGTTTGAATAAAAATTCATTATGTGAATAAAAAATCAAAATGAAATTAATTTGTAAAGCCTGAAAACATAACTAATGAACAGAGGAAATGTTAGTTTAGTGCCAGGAATGGCTGCATTATTTATTCTGGACCCTATTTTGAAACTGGAATATTTTGAACTTTGCATTAAATTGGCCAAATTACCAATTTCCAATCACTTTATTTTGTAGTTGATTATTATTATAATCAAAAAGAAGCGCTAAGCCACAAGGGCTATACAGCTTTTTTGTAGTTGAAACATTTGACTTGGCAATTTCTTGTGCTCAATCAATAGAATAGAAGTAATACTAGTGAAATAGCTAAGAATTTGGCCGACTGGAATAATGTAATTGGCCTAAAATGGGAATCAAAGTCGGCAAAATCGCTGATGCATAAATATCACCAACACATCAAAATTCGCAAGAGCATAATTTCATCAATTTTCCATCAAATTTCATACTTTTTCTTTTATTACCTTCAGAAAAAGATTCTCTACCATTTCATAAGAAAAAATAACAAAATTATTTTTTGAAAATTCTTGGACCCTGGTGCACACTTTGAAATTTGACCTCTGGACCCTGAAAGGGTTAAGATACATTATGAACTTTTTATCCTTTCTTTTATTATTACTTATGTTTTTATATCTCATTTTTAACCTTATGTTCCTTTCTAAACTGATTGAACACGCTGTTTTTGATCAGTTGTTTCCTTTTCTGAAGTAATGTCTTACTGTGTGTTTAGTCTGTGTACACACCCTTTCATGCAGCCAAGATTTCTTTGTGTAATGTTTATAATAATTTGGCACTTAACCCTGTTTAGGAAATGCACTGTTGCTAATTTTCTTGGACCCCTCTGTTGCATTTCATACCACTTATCAAAGATTACTTATAAAATTATCTTTTTGGCTGTGGCCTCAGGGATACCACACTACTGCTTCTAAAATACCTTTCTGGCTGGTCATATCAAGTGGTAGTCAATGATTGTATCTGAGGTGTCTTCTTTGCCCTAATGGCATTTCTTTGGGCTTAGTTCTTGAACCCATACCATACTGTTTGCTATTTATTGTAAGTGGCTTAGCCTTATTGTTGGATGCCTATGGAACTGATTATCATTTGTATGCTGACAAAACATATGTTTACATGCAGGTTCTAAATGTGGAAGATGCAAAACTGTTATAGTTCTCTTTTGCTGGGTATTTGGACCTGGATGGCAAATAAAATTTAGAGTAAGAGAGATTTTGATTGTCAGGGGAAACCTCAGGTGAATACAGAGTGGAGATTTTGGTGCCTTTGATTGTGGTACTCTCAGTTTGTAGCCTGTGGGATCAGTGAAGGATCTGGGTGTCTACCTGGATTCTTCATTGTCATTTGTTGGACACACCAACGAAATTGTTAAATGTTGCACTTCTCATATCCGCAATCTCTATACAGTCAGACAAGTGTTAAACCCGAGGAAGTCATAAAGCACCTGGGAAATGGGAGAAGTAAGGTTCAATCCAAGGAATGGGGGGGGCCAAGTCCAATTCCTTGAATTAAGAGCTCCTCAGAAACATTAGGGAATTTCTCTTGAAAGGTAAATTTTTATATAATCATACCCTTTTCAGAAAAACCATGAAAAAATTGCATACTGCCACATTCTTGCTTGAACATATTCTAAAATTCCTGACAACCCTTAGTATTCCACAAAACTCCTGGATATTTCCAATTGCTATTACATAGGGGCTCTGGTGGTCTGGTGGCTAACGCTCTCGCTTCACATGGCGAGGGCCTGGGTTCGATTCCCAGCCAGAGTAGAAACATTGGGCGTGTTTCTTTCCACCTGTTGTCTATGTTCCCCACCAAGTAAAGTGGGTACCTGGGTGTTAGTAGACTGGTGTGGGTCACATCCTGGGACACTGACCTAATTTGCCCAACATGCTGAGCATAACAAGGGGCTTTCTATATAGTAGTATGTCAGTGATGTCAGCTAGGCCTATATACCATGTACATGTACTTGTAGTAAATAAAGATATAATAATAATAATATATGCTGTTGGAGAGTTTTATAAGATGCAGATTATACAAGATGCATTTAGATTCTTTTGCACAGTACATGTATTTAATATTGTCTAGAAAGAATACCTCTAAGGCATTTAATAGTTTTATTAATTTTTAAGCAGACACCTTACCCGGGTTCCCAACTTAGTCTTAAAGTTGTGGAAGATAAGGTGTGGATATTGCTCAGACATGGTGCTGATGTTGGGAATATCATGACGCATCACAACATCTGCTAGGGTGAAATATGCTGTTGGACCATTGGGAAGGTGACTGATGACCAGTCCATCTGGATTGCCTCTGTGAATTATTTGAATGCACATGTTGTTACCAGAACATAAAAATATACAGTAAATGGAAAAAAACCATAATCAAAGCAGATACTATAAAATATGGAATAACATGCTGTCATAACTGTAAAAAAAATGACAGATTGAATAACAAAAACCTTAAAAGCAATGTGTCAAGCCACTCATGGTAATTTTGGGGGTAACTATATGCAGTAGGCTTCAGTACTATGCACACTGACAGCATTTTCTTATTTTTAGGGCTTGCAAGCCCAGAGATCTGGAGGATGCGGAAAGAGCTTATGCAACCCGCATGTGTTGCATTAAACACATGATTACAGTATTTTGAAGGCCTTCAGTTCTTCAAACAATGCTATTTGAACCACAAGATATACATTTATCATGGTTTGCACCTGGAAAATATTGGAGAGTGACTCACACACTGAAGTAGCTATTGCAAGAGTGGAAGGCATGAGGTGCAAATATGGGGGAATTCACCAGTAGACCAGCCATCAAGTGAAAACTGCACCTGATTACCCAGGCTCTGGTGCCTGCATCAGACTGTGTGCCATGAGGAACAATGGCCCGACCGACCAAGACCACACTTCAAGAGGCAATGATCTGCAGAGCCACCGCCATTTTAGAAGCTTCTTATAAGAATATTAATGACTTGTCATGTTATTATGATTTTAAGTCACTGATGGTGGCTTTATGGGACTTGAGCTACAATTTGCCACAGCCAGGTTAGCATTAGATTCGTCTGTAAAATCCTACACTGTGGTCATAGTGGGGCTCATGTTAACCTTCCTAAGGTATAAAAATATACCTAGTTGGGTGAATCATATTAGGCTGGTATAGTATAAAAATTAACATACTGGCTTGTTAGATCTAGGACTGGCCTGTCATGGGTCTGAACTTCATTCATCACATATTTTTATTATTTATTATCACACTGGCCGATTCCCACCAAGGCAGGGTGGCCTGAAAAAGAAAAACTTTCACCATCATTCACTCCATCACTGTCTTGCCAGAAGGGTGCTTTACACTACAGTTTTTAAACTGCAACATTAACACCCTCCTTCAGAGTGCGGGGCACTGTACTTCCCATCTCCAGGACTCAAGTCCGGCCTGCCGGTTTCCCTGAACCCCTTCATAAATGTTACTTTGCTCACACTCCAACAGCACGTCAAGTATTAAAAACCATTTGTCTCCATTCACTCCTATCAAACATGCTCACGCATGCCTGCTGGAAGTCCAAGCCACTCGCACACAAAACCTCCTTTACCCCCTCCCTCCAACCTTTCCTAGGCCGACCCCTACCCCGCCTTCCTTCCACTACAGACTGATACACTCTTGAAGTCACTCTGTTTCGCTCCATTCTCTCTACATGTCCGAACCACCTCAACAACCCTTCCTCAGCCCTCTGGACAACAGTTTTGGTAATCCCGCACCTCCTCCTAACTTACAAACTACGAATTCTCTGCATTATATTCACACCACACATTGCCCTCAGACATGACATCTCCACTGCCTCCAGCCTTCTCCTCGCTGCAACATTCATCACCCATGCTTCATACCCATATAAGAGCGTTGGTAAAACTATACTCTCATACATTCCCCTCTTTGCCTCCAAGGACAAAGTTCTTTGTCTCCAAAGACTCCTAAGTGCACCACTCACCCTTTTCCCTCATCAATTCTATGATTCACCTCATCTTTCATAGACCCATCCGCTGACACGTCCACTCCCAAATATCTGAATACATTCACCTCCTCCATACTCTCTCCCTCCAATCTGATATCCAATCTTTCATCACCTAATCTTTTTGTTATCCTCATAACCTTACTCTTTCCTGTATTCACTTTTAATTTTCTTCTTTTGCACACCCTACCAAATTCATCCACCAATCTCTGCAACTTCTCTTCAGAATCTCCCAAGAGCACAGTGTCATCAGCAAAGAGCAACTGTGACAACTCCCACTTTATGTGTGATTCTTTATCTTTTAACTCCACGCCTCTTGCCAAGACCCTCGCATTTTCTTCTCTTACAACCCCATCTATAAATATATTAAACAACCACAGTGACATCACACATCCTTGTCTAAGGCCTACTTTTACTGGGAAATAATTTCCCTCTTTCCTACATACTCTAACTTGAGCCTCACTATCCTTGTAAAAACTCTTCACTGCTTTCAGTAACCTGCCTCCTACACCATACACCTGCAACATCTGCCACAGTGCCCCCCTATCCACCCTGTCATACACCTTTTCCAAATCCATAAATGCCACAAAGACCTCCTTAGCTTTATCTAAATACTGTTCACTTATATGTTTCACTGTAAACACCTGGTCCACACACTCCCTACCCTTCCTAAAGCCTCCTTGTTCATCTGCTATCCTATTCTCCGTCTTACTCTTAATTCTTTCAATAATAACTCTACCATACACTTTACCAGGTATACTCAAGACTTATCCCCCTATAATTTTTGCACTCTCTTTTGTCCCCTTTGCCTTTATACAAAGGAACTATGCATGCTCTCTGCCAATCCCTAGGTACCTTACCCTCTTCCATACAACTATTAAATAATTGCACCAACCACTCCAAAACTATATCCCCACCTGCTTTTAACATTTCTATCTTTATCCCATCAATCCCGGCTGCCTTACCCCCTTTCATTTTACCCACTGCCTCACAAATTTCCCCCACACTTTACTTTAGAGATGTACTTTAGAGATGTACAGTATTTCTCCATGGGAAAGTGGAACAGAATACTTCCTCCTTAAGCTATGCGTGTTGTAAGAGGCAACTATAATGCCAGTAGCAAGGGGCTAGTAACCCCTTCTCCTGTATATATTACTAAATTTGAAAGGAGAAACTTTTGTTTTTCCTTTTGGGCCACCCCACCTCAGTGGGATATGGCTGGTATGTTGAAAGAAAGAAAGATGTACGGTATTCAAACAATTAGCAGTGTAACTCATTGCCTTCTCTGAATGTAACACATTCACTGTTTGGTTAACAGTTCCATTTACCTAATTTATAAGCAATCCTATCTAAACAATAGTTTGTTGTTAATATTGATAGAATACCGACGATATGTTAAGTAAAAAGACGCAAATGCAACTAATGTGACATTTTATTGTGGCAACATTTTGCTCTCCAGGAGTTTTGTCAAGCTGTTATAAGCAATACATGGACACAGAGGGTATATATATAGGCTTTGAGTGAGGTGTAGTACAAGTAGAGGTGGTAGTAGTAGTAGTATACATGTGGTGGAAAAGTCAGCTGGTACATGAGAAAGAAAGGTTACAAAAGCTATGGCTTGGGAAGCATAAAAAATAGGTTGGGCAAATGTAAATGGATGAATTTGAGAAGGCATGTATCAGTGTCCCTTCTCTATTGCATAAGAACATAAGAAAGGAGGAACACAGCAGGAGGCCTGTTGGCCCAAACTGGGCCCGTCCTTTCATGTAGTAGCAATTATGTGATGGCAGGGTTTCCTGTTTTCAGGAGGATTCTTGCTAAGACTTCAGGGATGATAAAGCTGTCTTTGTTTTGTTTAACTGTGCTAGAAACAGTGATTAATGCTGATTCAAGGCATTTGCATCTGCAAAAATTATGTTCTTTGATCACTAGTTGGGGGCGTCCCTGAATTTCGTGAGATGATTGACAGAGTTTCGGTGTGGTATGCAGGCGGTGTTCAAGTTATCGTGCCTACATGCATTAATATGTTCATTGTGGCGTGTTTCGAGGTTTCTTGCTGTTCACCTAAATATATCCTGTCACAGCCTCTACAGGGTATAGTGTAAACCCAGTTGCATTCATGTCCTTTTACTAAACAACAGTTTCTATCTCCCTTACAGTACCTACTCTAAAAACTATTTTGAACAAAGACCAGTTTGAAGGGATATGTTGTGAATCTTTATACATACATGCTTCTAAACTGTTGTATTCTGAGCACCTCTGCAAAAACAGTGCTTGTGTGAGTGAGGTGAATGTGTTGAATGATGAAAGTATTTTCTTTTTGGGGATTTTCTTTCTTTTTGGGTCACCCTGCCTTGGTGGGAGACAGCCAACTTGTTGAAAAAAAAAAAATTAAAACCTAAAGCTACATACACTACTTCTATTTTTACTGTCTAAAATACAGCCATGATGCAAACATTAGAATGCCCAAAAGCAAAAATCTTTCATTACTAACCCATGTGCAAAATATTACTAACAACAATGTGAGATTAAGTGCATAAATAATGCTCTTTAAAGAAATCATATTTTGTTGGAGTAAAATACTGAGTGTAATTTAATGAATTGTCATTAGGTAATGGGGGTGTTTCAGAATTAATATACTGACCACTTGTCCAAGTTATTAGATGAATAAAAGCTTGTACAATGAACTATAGTAAGCGTGTATGCACCTGGAGAAGAGAGAAGTGTAGAGGAGAGAGAGAGATTCTGGGAAATGTTGAGTGAATGCATGGGGAGTTTTGAATCAAGTGTGAGAGTAATGGTGGTTGGGGATTTCAATGCTAAAGTGGGTAAAAATGTTATAGAGGGAGTAGTAGGTAAATTTGGGGTGCCAGGGGTAAATGTAAATGGGGAGCCTATGTGTAGAAAGAAATTTGGTAATAAGTAATACATATTTTATGAAAAAGAGGATAAATAAATATACAAGGTACGATGTAGCACGTAATGAAAGTAGTTTGTTAGATTATGTATTAGTGGATAAAAGGTTGATGGGTAGGCTCCAGGATGTACATGTTTATAGAGGGGCAACTGATATATCGGATCATTATTTAGTTGTAGCTACAATTAGAGTAAGAGGTAGATGGAAAAAGAGGAAGGTGGCAACAACAAGTAAGAGGGAGGTGAAAGTGTATAAACTAAGGGAGGAGGAAGTTCGGGCGAGATATAAGCGACTATTGGCAGAAAGGTGGGCTAGTGCAAAGATGAGTACTGGGGGGGGTTGAAGAGGGTTGGAATAGTTTTAAAAATGCAGTATTAGAATGTGGGGCAGAAGTTTGTGGTTATAGGAGGGTGGGGGCAGGAGGAAAGAGGAGTGATTGGTGGAATGATGAAGTAAAGGGTGTGATAAAAGAGAAAAAGGTAGCTTACGAGAGGTTTTTACAAAACAGAAGTGTTATAAGAAGAGCAGAGTATATGGAGAGTAAAAGAAAGGTGAAGAGAGTGGTGAGAGAGTGCAAAAGGAGAGCAGATGATAGAGTGGGAGAGGCACTGTCAAGAAATTTTAATGAAAATAAGAAAAAAATTTTGGAGTGAGTTAAACAAGTTAAGAAAGCCTAGGGAAAGTATGGATTTGTCAGTTAAAAACAGAGTAGGGAGTTAGTAGATGGGGAGAGGGAGGTATTAGGTAGATGGCGAGAATATTTTCAGGAACTTTTAAATGTTAAGGAAGAAAGGGAGGCGGTAATTTCATGCACTGGCCAGGGAGGTATACCATCTTTTAGGAGTGAAGAAGAGCAGAATGTAAGTGTGGTGGAGGTACGTGAGGCATTACGTAGAATGAAAGGGGGTAAAGCAGCTGGAACTGATGGGATCATGACAGAAATGTTAAAAGCAGGGGGGGATATAGTGTTGGAGTGGTTGGTACTTTTGTTTAATAAATGTATGAAAGAGGGGAAGCTACCTAGGGATTGGCGGAGAGCATGTAGAGTCCCTTTATATAAAGGGAAAGGGGACAAAAGAGATTGTAAAAATTATAGAGGAATAAGTTTACTGAGTATACCAGGAAAAGTATACGGTAGGGTTATAATTGAAAGAATTAGAGGTAAGACAGAATGTAGGATTGCGGATGAGCAGGGAGGCTTCAGAGTGGGTAGGGGATGTGTAGATCAAGTGTTTACATTGAAGTATATATGTGAACAGTATTTAGATAAAGGTAGGGAAGTTTTTATTGCAATTATGGATTTAGAAAAGGCATATGATAGAGTGGATAGAGGAGCAATGTGACAGATGTTGCAAGTATATGGAATAGGTGGTAAGTTACTAAATGCTGTAAAGAGCTTTTATGAGGATAGTGAGGCTCAGGTTAGGGTGTGTAGACGAGAGGGAGAATACTTCCCGGTAAAAGTAGGTCTTAGACAGGGATGTGTAATGTCACCATGGTTGTTTAATATATTTATAGATGGGGTTGTAAAAGAAGTATATGCTAGGGTGTTCGGGAGAGGGGTGGGATTAAATTATGGGGAATCAAATTCAAAATGGGAATTGACACAGTTACTTTTTGCTGATGATACTGTGCTTATGGGAGATTCTAAAGAAAAATTGCAAAGGTTAGTGGATGAGTTTGAGAATGTGTGTAAAGGTAGAAAGTTGAAAGTGAACACAGAAAAGAGTAAGGTGATGAAGGTATCAAATGATTTAGATAAAGAAAAATTGGATATCAAATTGGGGAGGAGGAGTATGGAAGAAGTGAATGTTTTCAGATACGTACTTGGGAGTTGACGTGTCGGCGGATGGATTTATGAAGGATGAGGTTAATCATAGAATTGATGAGGGAAAAAAGGTGAGTGGTGCGTTGAGGTATATGTGGAGTCAAAAAACGTTATCTATGGAGGCAAAGAAGGGAATGTATGAAAGTATAGTAGTACCAACACTCTTATATGGATGTGAAGCTTGGGTGGTAAATGCAGCAGCGAGGAGACGGTTGGAGGCAGTGGAGATGTCCTGTCTAAGGGCAATGTGTGGTGTAAATATTATGCAGAAAATTCGAAGTGTGGAAATTAGGAGAATGTGTGGAGTTAATAAAAGCATTAGTCAGAGGGCAGAAGAGGGGTTGTTGAGGTGGTTTGGTCATTTAGAGAGAATGGATCAAAGTAGAATGACATGGAAAGCATATAAATCTATAGGGGAAGGAAGGAGGGGTAGGGTCGTCCTCGAAAGGGTTGGAAAGAGGGGTAAAGGAGGTTTTGTGGGCTAGGGGCTTGGACTTCCAGCAAGCGTGCATGAGCGTGTTAGATAGGAGTGAATGGAGGCGAATGATACTTGGGACCTGACGATCTGTTGGAGTGTGAGCAGGGTAATATTTAGTGAAGGGATTCAGGGAAACCGGTTATGTTCATATAGTCGGATTTGAGTCCTGGAAATGGGAAGTACAATGCCTGCACTTTAAAGGAGGGGTTTGGGATATTGGCAGTTTGGAGGGATATGTTGTGTATCTTTATATGTATATGCTTCTAAGCTGTTGTATTCTGAGCACCTCTGCAAAAGCAGTGATAATGTGTGTGGTGTGGTGAAAGTGTTGAATGATGATGAAAGTATTTTCTTTTTGGGGATTTTCTTTCTTTTTTGGGTCACCCTGCCTCGGTGGGAGACGGCCGACTTATTGAAAAAAAAAAAAAAAATGAACTAACCTGGTTTCATGCAAAATGATGAAGTCTGTCACCTGATTTGCACAACATGCCTCCACCAGCTGCTTATTTGCATAATTACCTCGATTTAGGCGCTGAGAATTGGGAAACAAAAGCTTCACTTCCTGTTCAGAAAAGAAATAAATACAAGAAAAAATTATTAATTACACAATAGGTATTAACCTCCTGCAGAACAAGTATTCAGTGGAATTTATTGTATTGCTATTTAATTGCAGTAAAGGTCATGAAGTGCCTGGGCAATGAGAAATATATAGGTTCAAACTGAGGAGAGTAGCTCAAATTCCTTGGATCAAGTGCCCTTTACTAGTATCAAAGCACACCCCACCCTCATGGTTACTAATTTATTAATAGTTTTGTGGTCTCAAAAGCTATTATGGTACAAGGAACAGGCACAACTAATGTATTTTATAAACAAAACTATGGCCTTGAAGGGCCCAAACACAAATAAATTACATCAAATGGCTGATCAAGTAGTCAAACTCCTCTGCCCCCTTCCCCAATCTTCTTCCCACTGAACTATAATGAATTCTATATCACATTAATTTTTTGATGCTATATACAGTATGTGACATTTTCACTTTTGAAAATTTTCAGTAGTATTTGTAATTAGTTCTCATAATGCTGCTGCGCTATTCAGAGCAATTTTCTAATTTTCCATTCTTTTCAACATAATCTTTAATATCATTCATATCCCTTACTGTGCTATGAACACTGTATGTGCTATCTTAATTAACTAAAGTATCAGAATTATTCCTGACTAACATCAATTTAAACCTTCAACCCTAGGTAAATTCTATTTACTGTACTATAAATAGTCTAAACATTCTATAGTTGCTGGGTCACCTCATGGACACAACCCAGGCTGAGACTACTCCGGCAAATCAGACAAGAATGTACTGTAAATAGAATTTACCTACATTTACTGTACTGTAAATGGAAGTCTTGAGTGCTAGGGGCTTGGGCATTCAACAGGCTTATGTGAGCATATCAGACAGGAATGGAGGAGTGTTTTTTTTATGACTTAAAATGCTGCTGGAGTGTGAGCAAGGTAACATTTATGAAGAGATTTAAAGAAACCACTTAACCATACTCAAGTCCTGGAGGTGGGAAGTACAGTGCCTGTACTGTGAAAGAGGGATGAAGATGTTGTAGTCTGGAGAGTCATATGAACTGTGATGTCAGCATGCTTCTAACATGATAGTGATTGAATGAGTGACAATGAAAGTTTTTTTTTTTGTCACCTATGTCAGTGGAAAATGGCCAGTGTGTTTAAAACAATAAAAAAATTAAAACAAAAGCATATTATAACAACAATATCCTAATCATAAATTACTAAGTCAATTTTAGGTTTTTAACTTATTACAAATACAGTGGACCCCTGCCTTACGAACGCACCGTGTTACGTTAAATCCGCCATACGAAGCATTTGAACGCAAAAATTTTGCCTCGCCTCACGATAAAAAACTCGCCTTACGTGATTTGTCCGGGACACGTCCCACGTGTGGCCTCAGCACCAGTGCTTACAAGCCAGCCAGTGCGGTTGTATCTACACATACATTCGGTACATTTCACATTATCCCAGTGTTTTTAGTACTTGTAACTGCAAAATAAGTCACCATGGACCCCAAGAAAGCTTCTAGTGCCATCCCTGTGGTAAAAAGAGCAAGAATTAGTATGGAATTGAAAAAAGAGATTAAGGAAATGTGTGCAAAGTGGGATGAAAATCACCCTAACACAGCTACTGCAAGCCGTGTTGGCAACCTGTACAATGATAATGTTATGGCCCAATTTAGGAAAGTCTTAAAGGAACGGGAGGTACAGAGCTCTATGGACAGATTTGTTGTGCGACAGAGGTCCAGTGACTCTGAAGCTGGTCCTAGTGGCATTAAAAGAAGAAGGGAAGTAACCCTGGAAAAGGACTTGCTACCTCAAGTCCTAATGGAAGGGGATTCCCCTTCTAAACAATAACTTCCACACTCTCCCCTCCTCCCATCCCATCAATCATCACCAGATCTTCAATAAAGGTAAGTGTCATGTATTCTATTCTTAGCAGAGTAGTAATTGTGCATGTCTTCTTCAGTTTGTGTGTATTAAAATTAATATTTCATGTGGTAAAAATTTTTTTTTTTTCATACTTTGGGGTGTCAGGAACGGATTAATTTGATTTCCATTATTTCTTACAGGGAAAATTAATTCGGCTAACGATAATTTCGGCTTACGATGAGCTCTCAGGAACGGATTAATATCGTAAGGCAGGGGTCCACTGTAAATTTAAAGTGATTATTCAGACCTTTGCAAATTGTTTAAGTTTAGACGATGGATCTCGGGATGTTGTGATGACAATCTTGGGGTCTTCCACACCAGCCCATCTGTACTCATCATCAACATTGGTTGAACCACCTGCAGCTTCTCCACCCAGTTCTACAGCTAACTGAGGTCCAGGGTCATCCCAATCACCAGCAGCCATGAGCCTCAAAGCCTTCTTTTGCAGGGCAGTGGGAATTTCTTTACCCTCTGCAATAATAATACATAAAGAAATCAGATATACAGTAATTAATATAAAAAGGACTAGGGTACTCAGCTGTTATGTTTTCAAGTTAATCAAGACATTCATTGTATTGGACTATGATGGTTAAAATGTTTTTTTATAATAACATGTTAAAACTAAAACAGGAACATGCAGCTGTGATACGAGTATAATGTCTGCACCTTCAAAAACAAAAAATACAGTGTTACAACAGAAAGCTTTCCGATATGAAAAAAAAAATAACTTTTAAAATTAAGAAGTATGAATCATGAAGAAAGACTGAAGGATGGAAAGACAAATAATAAGATGGAATATGAAACTACAGCTTCTCCTCACTTAACAATCAAGTTCCATTCCTAAGACTACGTCGGTAAACAAATTTATCGCTAAGCAAGGAGCATACTATAATGGTAGTGGGTTTGTCAGCCACCTTTGATACTGTTTTAATGTCACCTATGAACCATTTATAACATTTTCAGTATATTTTTAAATGTTTATACAGTAGTGTACTGTATACTGTAATAAACAGAATAGAGGAAATCAGCTCTAATATACATAATTTAGGTATGCATACTGGTCAGAGAGCCCATTGTAAGTCCAAGTCATCAGTATATAAGTACATCACTAAGTGAGGCGAGGCTGTACTGTACTTTTAAATTTGTAAAATCATGTGAAAATGCAGACAAGAGTATTTCTTGATATGGAAACATAATGCCATAATTTAAGCTATGTAAGAAGCAGTGCAGAAGGGATATTATAATATAAGCTCTATTTATGTAACTATAAACAGGTGTGCAAATACAAATATTGTATATACGTATATACTGAATTCAATATAATAATGATATACAATACAGTGGACCCCTGGTTAACGAACTTTTTTCATTCCAGTAGTATGTTCAGGTGCCAGTACTGACCGAATTTTTTCCCATAAGGAATATTGTGAAGTAGATTAGTCCATTTCAGACCCCCAAACATACACGTACAAACGCACTTACATAAATACACTTACATAATTGGTCGCATTTGGAGGTGATTGTTAAGCGGGGGTCCACTGTACTGGTAAGTAGACAAATAGGACATATGTGCAACAGTAAAGTATCTTTATTCATAAATGTTTTGCCTATGCAGTAGGCTTCATCAGTCATGTACAGAGGTGGTAAATATGGAGACAGCAGAAGTAGTGGAGAGGTAAAGATGTTATGATCAATTCATCAACCTTGAAGTAGTTTAAGGTGGAGAGTCCCTCAATCTGGAGATGTGTTCAACTTCAGTACTCAGAAAATCATAAAAAAACACGTTTGTTAACCTCCCAATAGTGTATACAAATGTATTTAGTTGGATGAATCTTATTCCAGAATGGTCCAATGGATAACACACTAGCCTGAGAGCTTAAGGACTTGCTTACCATGGGATCAAGTCTTACCCATTTTATGATATAGCTTCACTGTTCAGGACTATGAAGGTGAACACATCTCCAGGCTGAGGGACTGACCACCTCAAGCTACTTACTGAAAGCTGATGAACTGATCATGTCATCTTTACCTCCCCACTGCTGCTTTCTCCATATTCACCATCTCTGTATTCGACTGAAAAAAGTTACCTAACTATTGCACATCTGACTCGTCCACATATACGGTAATATTAAGTCTATATCTCCTTGATATGAAAGCAGTATTAAGAACGAGCCATAATTATAACAATAACAGTATGGAAATACCACAATATTAATAAAATAAAAACAAACCTTTCAGTGATGCTTTGATTGTGTCTTTCCTCTGCTGCATAGCAGCATGACGACCCTCCATACTCTTGCGGTACAGATATTCTCGACGAAGTCTTGCCTGTCGCCTTAGGCTAAACTCACTCTGTATCAAATAAAGGTGATTTAGTTGTGGGCACCAATAAAAAGTTAATAGACAATCCAAATGTCGTGATGAATGGTTTGAAAAACCGACAAGTTGAAGATTGAGACACTTATGCAGCATATGGAAATCTTTATTCAGGAAACGTTTCGCCACACAGTGGCTTCATCAGTCCAATACAAAGAGGAAGGCGTAAGGAGAGGAGGAGAATGAGGTAATCAGTCCCTGATTACCTCATTCTCCTCCTCTCCTTACGCCTTCCTCTTTGTATTGGACTGATGAAGCCACTGTGTGGCGAAACGTTTCCTGAATAAAGATTTCCATATGCTGCATAAGTGTCTCAATCTTCAATCCAAATGTCCCCAGGATCCATAAGGACTGCAGTAAAGTCCTGTAATTAACTCAAATTTAAATATTATGTTTATGTAACTGTGGAATATTATGTTTATGTAACTGTGATTATTTAACAATGAATCAACATTACTTTTTACGATAAAACACTTATTACATTTAGGTAAAAGTGCTAAGCCCGTAGGGGCCATAACACCTGAGGAATGGTTGGAAATCGGGTTTAATCCAAGGAAAAACTAAAACATATAAGAACCATTAATAATACATTCTACTTTGTAATTAGCTTCATTTTATTTTCACACCCAACCTTTATTATCACATTCATGGCAGAGATCTAAACCCACTGGTAAACCAGCCGCTGAAAACGGCGGCTGGTGTACCATGTATTTTAATGCTACCATTTACTGTCAAATATGTTTTTATGGAAAATCCTAATAATTGTTATCAAAAGGCTTTTACTTACCATTCTGAAGTTAGTGATGAGGAAAACTTTCCAAACACGTGTTAGCTGTCTACTGTTGTAGTTGTTGTTGTTGGGTTACTCAGGGCCACCAAAACTGACGCTTTATTAAGCTTTCCCCTCAAGGAAGGTTCCTTGATGTTGGTGAGGGGCTCTTGATTTAGGGAATTGGATCTGTGCTCCAGTTCCCCGAATTAAGCCTGAATGCCTTCCACATCCCCCCCCCAGGCGCTGTATAATCCTCCGGGTTTAGCGCTTCCCCCTTGATTATAATAATAATTTATTAAGCTTTACCACCCAGGAGTCTGGAGACAAACAATTTTGCCCAAATCTTGGCAGGAATGAGAGAAAAAAAAAACGTTTTCTCTGGAAGGGTAACCCCTCAAGGAAGGTTCCTTGATGTTGGTGAGGGGCTCTTGATTTAGGGAATTGGAACTGTGCTCCAGTTTCCCAAATTAAGCCTGAATGCCTTCCACATCCCCCCCCAGGCGCTGTATAATCCTCTGGGTTTAGCGCTTCCCCCTTGATTATAATAATAATAATAATAATCTGGAAGGGTAAACGAAAACAACAAAAAATCAACTTAGATCAGGTGAACTCCAGGCCTAAACTCCGGCAGGGCAGGTGAGGCGTCCTGCTCCTTGAGCCACACGTCAGTACTTCATAATAATAATAATAATAATAATAATAATAATAATAATAATAATAATAATAATAATAATAATATCTTTATTTACTACAAGTACATGGTATACAGTCCTAGCTGACATCACTGACATACTACTATGTAGAAAGCCCCTGTTATGCTGAACATTTCGGGCAAATTAGGTCAGAGTTCCAGGATGCGACCCACACCAGTCGACTAACACCCAGGTACCATGGGTAAGCCTACTAACAATGGTTATAAATGACCATAATTTTTAAAGGGGTGGACCGGTAAGCCAGCGGAAGGCCTCGGTCAGATGACCAAAATCTCCAAAGGCGGGTCATCATCTGACTAAGACCCGCGTCAGGAAACATTTGTCCTGTTTCCTGACGAACCTTACCTAAACCTAACCCAGGTACCCATTTTACTGATGGGGAACATAGACAACAGGTGGAAAGAAACTCGCCAAATGTTTCTACTCTGGCTGGGAATCGAACTCAGGCCCTAGCCGTGTGAAGCGTGAGCTTAACCACAAGGTTATAACTCACCATAATTTGTAAAGGGGTGGACCGGTAAGCCAGCGGAAGGCCTGGAGTTTATCAAAAGCTCTAACGGCGGGTCATCATCTGACAGACCCGCGTCAGGAAACACTTGTCCTGTTGTAGATAAATGGTTCAGAGAACCGATTAGCTGATAAATTAGACACTTATGCAACACTTAGGTATCTTTATTAAGGAAACATTTCACCATAGCAGCTTCATCAGTCCATTCAAAGGAGAATGGTGAAGAACAGAAGGAGTTTGAGGTAATCAGTTCCTCAACCTTGAGTCGATGTAATAAGACCATCAGTCTTGAAAAGAACACATCATATGCGCAAAGTGGCTTATATCTGACACCTGCCTCTCAAACAGGCTCTTCCTGTCCACTTTGTACGTCCTGGAGGTTACCTGGAGGTTATTCCGGGGATCAACGTCCCCGCGGCCCGGTCCATGACCAGGCCTCCCGATGGATCAGGACCTGATCAACTAGGCTGTTACTGCTGGCCGCACGCAGTCCAACGTACGAGCCACAGCCCGGCTGATCCGGCACTGACTTTAGGTATCTGTCCAGCTCTCTCTTGAAGGCAGCCAGGGGCTTATTGGCAATTCCCCTAATGCTTGATGGGAGGCTGTTGAACAGTTTTGGGCCCCGGACACTTATGGTGTTTTCCCTTAGTGTACCAATGGCGCCCCTACTTTTTATTGGGGGCATTTTGCATCGCCTGCCCAGTCTTTTACTTTCGTAGGGAGTGATCTGTGTGCAGATCTGGGACCATTCCTTCCAAGATTTTTCAAGTGTAGATTATGATAATCCTCCCCCCCAGTACCAACAATACCACCAGTCCGATGACATTCTTCTTTGCAAATATACAGGGTCTAAAGCCAGCAACAAACAACAAAATACCCTTCATCCGTGGACTGCTTGCAGAGGCAAAGGCAATGTTCGCGGCTTTCACTGAGACCCACATAAAGGATCACTTGGACAACGAAATATGGATCCCAGGTTACAACCTATACAGATGTGACAGAGTGAACAGGTAAAAAGGGGGGGGGGTTGGCCTGTACATTGCAGAGTCACTTGTTTGCACAGAACTGCTAAATGCCTCAAATGATGTAGTGGAAGTTTTAGCAGTAAAGGTCGAGAATCAAAACCTAGTCATTGTGGTAGTCTACAAGCCTCCGGATGCAACATCCCAGCAATTCCAGGAACAGCTGTTAAAAATTGACCACTGTCTGGAAAATCTTCCAGCTCCTGCACCCAACATCTTGCTCCTGGGAGATTTCAACTTAAGGCATCTAAAATGGAGGAATATAGCAAATAATATTGTTGCAGTAATAACACCAGGAGGCAGCTCTGAGGAAAACTCACACTCACACGAGCTTTTAAATCTCTGCACAAAATTCAATTTAAACCAGCAAATAATAGAGCCTACTAGACTGGAGAATACACTAGACCTCATCTTCACTAACAATGATGATCTGATAAGAAATGTCACCATATCAAAAACAATATACTCAGATCACAACATAATTGAGGTTCAGACATGTATGCGTGGAGCCCCAGACCGACATAATGAGACTAGTCACGAGGAAGCATTCACCAAATTCAACTTCAATAACAAAAAACATAAAGTGGGACCAAGTAAACCAAGTCCTAACCGATATAAGCTGGGAAGATATACTAAGCAACACAGACCCCAACTTATGCCTAGAACAGATTAACTTGGTGGTACTCGATGTATGCACAAGGCTTATTCCTCTAAGAAAAAGGAGGAGTAGATGTAAAATAGAAAGAGACAGGTGCTCCCTTTACAGGCGACGGAAAAGAATAACAGAGCGGCTAAAAGAGGTCAATATATCTGAAATGCGTAGGGAGACACTGGTCAGAGAAATAGCAAGCATCGAACTTAAGCTAAAGGAATCTTATAGGAGTCAGGAATCGCGGGAAGAACTAAAGCCATAAATGAAATCGAAAGAAACCCAAAGTATTTCTTCTCCTATGCCAAATCAAAGTCGAGAACAACGTCCAGTATTGGGCCCCTACTTAAACAAGATGGGTCCTACACAGATGACAGCAAGTAAATGAGTGAGCTACTCAAGTCCCAATATGACTCAGTTTTTAGCAAGCCGCTAACCAGACTGAGAGTCGAAGATCAAAATGAATTTTTTATGAGAGAGCCACAAAATTTGGTTAACACAAGCCTATTCGATGTTATCCTGACGCCAAATGACTTCGAACAGGCGATAAATGACATGCCCATGCACTCTGTCCCAGGGCCAGACTCATGGAACTCCGTGTTCATCAAGAACTGCAAGAAGCCCCTATCACGAGCCTTTTCCATCCTATGGAGAGGGAGCATGGACACGGGGGTCGTCCCACAGTTACTAAAAACAACAGACATAGCCCCACTCCACAAAGGGGGCAGTAAAGCAACAGCAAAGAACTACAGACCAATAGCACTAACATCCCATATCATAAAAATCTTTGAAAGGGTTCTAAGAAGCAAGATCACCACCCATCTAGAAACCCATCAGTTACACAACCCAGGGCAACATGGGTTTAGAACAGGTCGCTCCTGTCTGTCTCAACTATTGGATCACTACGACAAGGGCCTAAATGCACTAGAAAATAAAAAGAATGCAGATGTAATATATACAGACTTTGCAAAAGCCTTCGACAAGTGTGACCATGGCGTAATAGCGCACAAAATGAGTGCTAAAGGAATAACAGGAAAAGTCGGTCGATGGATCTATAATTTCCTCACTAACAGAACACAGAGAGTAGTCGTCAACAGAGTAAAGTCCGAGGCAGCTACGGTGAAAAGCTTCTGTTCCACAAGGCACAGTACTCGCTCCCATCTTGTTCCTCATCCTCATATCCGACATAGACAAGGATGTCAGCCACAGCACCGTGTCTTCCTTTGCAGATGACACCCAAATCTGCATGACAGTGTCTTCCATTGCAGACACTGCAAGGCTCCAGGCGGACATCAACCGAATCTTTCAGTGGGCTGCAGAAAACAATATGAAGTTCAATGATGAGAAATTTCAGTTACTCAGATATGGTAAACACGAGGAAATTAAATCTTCATCAGAGTACAAAACAAATTCTGGCCACAAAATAGAGCGAAACACCAACGTCAAATACCTGGGAGTGATCATGTCGGAGGATCTCACCTTCAAGGACCATAACATTGTATCAATCGCATATGCTAGAAAAATGACAGGATGGATAATGAGAACCTTCAAAACTAGGGAGGCCAAGCCCATGATGACACTCTTCAGGTCACTTGTTCTATCTAGGCTGGAATATTGCTGCACACTAACAGCACCTTTCAAGGCAGGTGAAATTGCTGACCTAAAAATGTACAGAGAACCTTCACGGCGCGCATAACGGAGATAAAACACCTCAATTACTGGGAGCGCTTGAGGTTCCTAAAACTGTATTCCCTGGAACGCAGGCGGGAGAGATACATGATTATATACACCTGGAAAATCCTAGAGGGACTAGTACCGAACTTGCACACGAAAATCACTCACTACGAAAGCAAAAGACTTGGCAGACGATGCAACATCCCCCCAATGAAAAGCAGGGGTGTCACTAGCACGTTAAGAGACCATACAATAAGTGTCAGGGGTCCGAGACTGTTCAACTGCCTCCCAGCATACATAAGGGGGATTACCAACAGACCCCTGGCAGTCTTCAAGCTGGCACTGGACAAGCACCTAAAGTCGGTTCCTGACCAGCCGGGCTGTGGCTCGTACGTTGGTTTGCGTGCAGCCAGCAGCAACAGCCTGGTTGATCAGGCTCTGATCCACCAGGAGGCCTGGTCACAGACCGGGCCGCGGGGGCGTTGACCCCCGGAACTCTCTCCAGGTAAACTCCAGGTATCTCTCCCTCCTGCGTTCCAACGAGTACAAATCAAGTGCTTCCAAGCGTTCCCAGTAGTTAAGGTGCTTGACAGAACTTA